CTGCAAATGTGTACTAATAAAATAAAAAATTAAAACTTAAAAAAATACGAACACAAAGCCCGTGAAGGTTATTCTGCCATGTCCAGGTGGTACCACAGCCACGCCAGAAGCAGCCCATGCCCACAAATGATGATAACGGATGACACAAGTGTTTGAAGTATCAAATATTTATTCACAGCGCCACCCTTCCAGTTACAAGGAGGCTTACAGCTGACATCTTTACCCCCGGCTCCACTCTGAGGCTCAGCGCTTCAGGTCCACCCATAATAATATTGATCTACAAAATCTGCCCTTCCCTGGGAATTTGGGGTAAGTTCACTGATCTAGCCAGTGATACTAAAGTTAATGCCTCTGCACTCGTGCTCAGCTGAAATCTAACAAAACGTTGAATGGTGTAAATCCCCTAACCCTCTTCAACAGCAGACAGTGTGGTTTGGAAGTCGTCATCTACCAGGGTCATGCCCGCTGCCTCTTTGCAAGCATCTGTGCCCGTCTGGCCCGCCCACTGTGACTCCAGTGTAGATTTAATTTTCATCTCATGTCCTAAGCTGGCTCTGTAAAACACTGCAACATTTGGTACTATCTGTGAAAGCCGCTGGCCATCCCTGGCATCCATTTCTATTCCTGAGACCGGCTGGGAGGTTTTAGAATATAACCCCAGATGCCTGGCGATGGCAGTCTCCTGTGACTCTCCAGTGATCATGGGTTCTTGCTATGTAGACCAAGCTGTCCTCAAACGTGCAACGATCCTCCTGCCTCAGTCTCCTGGATGCTGGGATTACAGGCGTGCGTCACCACGCCCGGGATCCAGTGATCATTTTTGTAGATACTCCTGAGGCAATGAGTGTTGTAACAACTTCTTTCACACCAGTTCTGGGAGGATGAAAGATTCCCAGGAGCCAAGAAATGTCAGGTTCCTGGTTCAGGACCAGACGCCAGAGCAAGGACTCTGAGCCCTGCTGAGCCTGGGCGCCTTCTCTTGCCGGCAGAGATCTCTGCGCTGTGTAAGGACCGAGGTCTGCCCTTGGCTGTGGTTTGTCGTACCATACTTGGTCATCTGTTCACCCGCACCCTTATCAAACAAACCTCTGGTCTGTCTGGCTGTGTTCGGGTACACACTTAAGAGCCACCCATGTGTGCTCAGAGGTAAGGGGTCTTCAGCTCCTGTGGTATGGTCACGCTGAAGGCCAGCAAGACCCATGTTCATGGCAAGAGCAACTGAGGCTGCTTCTGTGGGCCTCCCCGTGGGAATGCTGCTCTGACTCAGCGCGCACACAGCTGCCTCCACAGCTGTGCCGGCAGCGGGGTTACGGAATCCGCGCACAACGTCACCAGCAGCCACTGCCCCAGCCGGGCTCTAGCCGACGCCGGGCGCCTCAGCGCACAGACCGTCCGAGGTAAATACGCGGGCAGCAGTCCCTGTAGCCTTCATCGGTGTTCCAGGTTTATCCGAACAGACCACACCACAGCAGCCTGGCGTTTCAACCACAGGCGGGTTTCTTCACAGTAGCCCCTTTCTCCGTCATTCTCTAACACCAAGGGCCAACAGTGACCACAGTGAAGACCTGCAGGATTGCAGCTCCTGCCACACTTACGCGAAGAGCACAACCCTCATGCTAACTGTTCCTTGGAAACCAGCCGACCAGCCTGTTCTACGAAAGGAGTAAGAGGGAAGCTGCTTTCCTAACAGCTACTGTGATGGAGATTTAAAAATATAAAAATCAACCAGTAGTCCGACGCCATGCTAGGGCAAAATAAGATCACGCAGCCTGCTATGTAGCCCCTCTGTGAGACTCGCTCAGCCTGGACTCACTGCACCAGAGGTAACCCGACCCTGCTCAGTTTGACCGCACAATCTGTACTTTCCCACCCGAAAACATACCATTTGCTAACCTGTTTCAAGGACTTCCTGCTCAGCAATGAAGAATAATTGCTGCTACCCAATAAAAATTCACCATACTTTAGAAAAAAAAATTTTGGGTACCAGGAATCGAACTCAGGATCTTGTGCTTGCCAGGCAGGCACTTGTGCCACTGAGCTATATGCTCAGCCTAATGCACCATACTGTTAAGCCTTTGTATTTCCCGCTTGCAAACCTATATAAACTAAGCCCAAAGCTAGCTCAGGGCTGATGCTTTGGGAGTGATCCCCCATCTGCCCACTGGTGTAATAACGTTGGTTACCTTTCAGCTCCTTGGTGCACAGCGTTTTTCCATTCAGTTTGGTACTGGCTCCACAATACAGCCAACACTAACAAGAATTTAATTATAGCACGCGAGGATGACTTCATGGGAGGAAGTAACTGCAGATGTGGTAGAAACAGCAGGAGAACTAGAAGTGGACCCTGATGATGTGACTGAACTGTTGCAATTGCATGACACAAATTTAAAAGAAGGTTTTTATTGAGTGATTAAATAAGTGATTTCTTGCCAGGCATGGTGCACGCCTGCAATCCCAGCACTTGGGAGGCTGAGGCAGGAGGATTGTTTTGAGTTCAAGACCAGCCTTGGCTACAAAGTGAGCTCAAGGCCAGCCTGAACTGCGTAGCGAGACCCTATCTCAAAAAAAAAAAAAAAAAAAAGAAGTGATTTCTTGAGTTGGAGTCTATTCCAGGTGAGGAAGCCGCCAACCTTGTTGAAATGACAATAAAAGATGTCTAGTATTACATAAACTTAGTTGACAAAGCAGCATCAGGTTTTCTTAATAGGATCAAGTCCAGTCTTGAGGGAAGTTCTACTATGGGAAAAATGCAATCAAACAGCATTGAGTGCTACAGATCAGTCTTTTGTGAAAGAATCAACCGAAGCAGCAAACTTATATTTGTCTTCCTGAAGGAGATGCCGCAGCCACCCCAGCCGTCAGCCCCCGCTGCCACACAGTCACGGGCAGCCGTCAACATCAAGGCGGGACCCTCCACCAGCAAGGGGACTGGGGCTTGCTGGGGGCACGGATGCTTGTTCATGGTTGGAGTGATAAGATATTTTATTTTAAAAATTAAGATGCATACAATGGGTTTTAGACACAGTGCAACTGCACACCTAATAAACTACCGTATATTGTAAATGTGACGCTTATATGCACTAGAAAATAGGATTACTTTGTTGGAGTGACCTGGAACCAAACCTCCTGCATCTCCACGGTGCGCCCGCGTCACCTTTCACAGCCCTCATCAGATTTGTTCTCACTTAAGGTGTATTTTTGAGGCTGTTGTAAGTGGTATTTAACTATTTTAATTTCGAATAGTTTGCAACTAGTATGTAGAGATTCAAGTAGACTTTTTGTATTGGATTTTTGATATATATCATGAAATTTTGTAAACTCAATTAGCAGCAACTTTTGTGTAGATTCCGAAAGATTTTTCTGCATTTTGACTCTTTCTTTTTCAGCTAGCTGCTTTTGACTTCCTGTTTCCACTCTAATTTCCCTGTCTGTAACATCTACTCTGTCTTGAACAGAAGTAGGGAGCATGGTGGCCTCCCCAGTGTGGTTTCTGGTCTTACTGGAGCAGCATTCAGTATTTAGTTGCTGTAACAAAATACAAGAGGCAAACTGACTTTGTGAAGACAAATAGATGATTTAACTCAAAATGTGGGGATGCTGAAAGTCCAAATGACTTGGTGTATGTTCTGGTGAAAGCTACCTTCGGGCTGTGGCAGCTGGTAGCTGATGGTAATAACAGGAGTGCATGTTAGAGGAAGCGGTCACCTTTAAAACAGGAAGCCAAAGAGTCACAAGGGTCAGGATCAGGCTTTTATAAAAACTAGAATATCTGTGTTGACACAGGACCTTGGTCTTTAGCTTTATTTTCTTATGGTTTTGCTCCATAGGTCTGTAACTGGCTTTTGTCCACTAATAAATCACAAATGTATATACTTATGTGTCAATTGATATTTTGAGGATATTTTGAGACTATTTGAAGAGGATGCTAGTATTTTCTGGATTAATTATAATTAATTTTATCATTTTATCTAAATGTGGGATGCATATGTCTAAATTTTCTATTTCTTTTTTTTGAAATTTTTTCTATTTCATTCAGTACAAACACTTTGGGTGAGTCTTTTCAAACACAAAGGAGTCTTAGGATGTATTTCCAGAAGTGCAATTGGTGAGTCAGAGTGCTACACATTTTAAGACTTCTGTATTGGGAAATTGTCCTCGAAAAACCCCCGTAATAATGTACCCTCTTGATTACAGAGCATGAGCTTGTCTTTTCAGATCCTTTTCTCAGACTAAACACTGCAGATCAGGAGTCTTTGCACATGATGAATCCTCTTCCCCACAAAAACAGTTCATCCTCAACAGCCTAAACACTGACTGGCTTTAGAATATCAGGGAGAAAAACGTGAAAACAAAAACAAAAACGGTGACCTCCTTCTAGGCAGGGAAGTCACACCTTCTGAGGTATTAACAGGAATGTAAATTTTTGCTGAAAGAAAATAGTATGATGAAATACTGCTAAAAACAGGTTTTTACTCCTTAACCTATTCATATCTCCAGGGCAGTAGATTAAGTTGGCTTATGAGGCTGCAGGAAACAGATCAAACACAGGAAGAACGGCCCTGAGAAGGTTAGGAGGCAGTTTATTACACTGGTGGGCTTCTGACTAGGATCTCTCCCAAAGAGTCAGCCCCACCCAGCTGGGTTTCAGGGCTTTTAAAGGGAAAGTGAACAGAGAGGTTCAAAGGCAGATTTGGTGCACATGATCAGAGGTTTGGGTGACATCGTGGGTTGCTAAAGGAGTTTAAACATTTCAGGTTACATCACAAGGCCATCAGTTATACAAAGAATGGGTTATACAGAGGAGGAAATGTCCTGTTACATTTTAAGTTACATTGCAAAGCCATCAGTCACACAAAGGCATCAAAGACAGGAGTTTACACAAAGGGAGAAGTGTTCTGTTATTGGGCCTGCCGGCTATGTACACCTGGTTCTGGTGGGCATTCTTGAGAGGCATTTTGGCAAGCCTTTAGGCAGGCCTTTATTTAAAATTTTAATTTTCCCTCCAATGAGAAATAATTTTCACACACACATTTGGAGGATAAATTGTAAGTGTATTTTTTTCACTTTCAGAACATCAGCATTGGAAGAGCCCCTGATGACCAATTAGTCCAACCCCGCATTTCACACAGTGGGAAACCAAGGCTGAGGGGAGGGGAATCTGCCCAAGGCCTCGTGGGAAAGCAGTGGCTTAGTTTGTGGCTAGAAGGAAAAAGTGTGAAGTTCTGTTATTTTCTGTCTGCGACCTTTCCATTTAGAACATCTGATTAGAAGGCTCCCTTCCCCCAGTCTATGCTTTCGTAAAACTGACAGGGCAGCTTCTGCAGTATATGGAAAATATTTCCTTTGTATTTATGTGTGGTTTTCTTTTCCAAGGGGGAAAGGTGTTGCTTCCCCATTAAATGAGAGTGATAATATAAACTATTGGATGTGATTGAATCAGCGGTACAAAAGACCGCCAAATAAATCCAAAACCAGAAGCCCGAGCGGCCTCAGTACTACCTGTGTTATCTACGTTTATCTTGGAAAGATAGAGAGACTGCTGATGAGCATAGAGACGTTGGGGTTTGAGGAGAGGTGTACGACGTCTGCGTGGAAATGGACATGGGGCAGGGAGGGGCAGTCACTGGCATGAAAACAGACAGTCACACGTAAACACCTGTGAAGTTGGCCGTGGAGTGGCTGGTGGGTTGGGTCAACTCGTAGAGGGCTTGGTAGACTCCCAGGAAGCACCCCAAGAGGCCCAGGGTGCTGATCACGATGTCCTTTGCAATGGTCACGCAGCTCATGTCCTCGGGGTAGAAGGTGATGATCTCCAGGAGTGGCGGGATGATGAGGGCCAGGGCGCTGCTGCTCACGGAGCCCACCAGGGAGAGGACCAGGTCCAGGCGCGGGACGAGGATGGGGAAGACACCTGTGTGTAGAGGGAAGACTTAGGCTTCCGTGTGAGAAGGGATCTGGAAAACAAACCACTGCATTGGAGCCCAGGAGCTCTGCGGAGCCCGAGAAGCTCTTCGGGGAGGTCTGAATGGCCGTTCGCCAGGCACCAGACTCTGGATCCGCACTCCTGTCCCAACAGTCAGTGCAGAGGCTTCCTTTTGTGTTTCATCTACAGGCTTCTTCACACGTGTTTACAAGGTCTCCTCTACCACGTATATAGACCATCTTCTCCTGGCAGGGAAAGGTAGCGCTCTCGAGCAAACTCTTCCCAGGGCACACAGAGTGGGGCTAAGAGTCCATCTACGAGGTGTGATAAAAATGCCTACTTAAGGTTTAAAAATTTTTTACGGTAAAAGATATATTACCACTTCCCCTCTCACAGTCCTGCCCCGCACTTGGAACACCCAGGCGGTTGTTTGTGCCTCTTCCCGACGCAGCTCTGCAGTCCTCGCCAGTGAGGTGAGCTGCGGAGGCTGCCTCGAGGTCCTGGGTCAGTTCAAAAGATTCCTCCTGCACGGCCATTTTGACTTTGGAGAAGAGCCAGGGTCAGCGAGAGCCAGCGCCAGTGAGGAGGATGGGCACACGCTGAGGCTTCCCACCTGCTCCCCACTGGACGGCCCTCAGCGGCCGCGTTCACTGGGCTTCCTGTCACGCCCTGTAAAGACCCTCACGGACCAGGACTTCCAGAACTGCTTCAGCAATGGCAAGAACCTCGGGCTGAGTGCATGGGAAGCGAAGGGGGGTCCCTGAGGGGAATTAACGGCAATATGTCTTCACTGTAATACATCTGAAACATTTAAGCTTTCACTCTAAGCAGGCATTGTGCCGCACACCGGTCATTCCAGTACTGTGGGAGGTTCCCAGGTTCGAGCCCAGCCTGAGCAGTTATTAACTTAGTGAAACCCTATCTCAAAATAAAAATGGGGCTCAGTGCAAAAGCCCTGAGTTCAATCCCCGGTACTGCAAAACAAAACAAACAACAACAACAAAACCACTCACCGCCTATTTCAGTCACACTTTGTAGATGTCACAGCTAAAGGCCGCCCTGCTCTACTGGGTGTGTAGATGCCTGACTTGTAAACCCAGACCTGGAATTAAACTTTGTACTGTCTACTAATACAGCTTCTGTCTAGAAGCAGGGATGAATTGAGAGGGGGAGAGAGAGAGAGAGAGGGAGGGAGGAAGGGAGGAAGGGAGGGAGAGAGAGAGACAGAGAGCGATCTGTTGTCATCCCAATCTCAGCCGCTTGCCTTCCTATGTGTAAGAGGATTCTGGCAACTGAGCGGGACATGTAACTGAAGACTGCTTTGGGCTGGCCGGCCTCCATCTCTTTCCTCCGTTTCTTTCTCCGAGCACTCTTACATCTCCATCTCTTCTACGTACAATGAACATATATCGCGGATTTCCCCGAAGGAGTCTCATTTTGATAATGCTTGAGTAGATACACAATTTATATGACAATTTTATATATTGTGTGGTTTTGTAGGGCTTTTCTGTACAATATCATGTTGGAAGCATCTATCCATGGTTGCTGGATTCATTTTCTTTTGTGGTGCTGGGGGCCAAACGCAGGGCTTCACGTTTCCTGGCAAGCGCTCTGCCACCGAGCTACCGCCCCAGCCACCTGTGTCTGAGGTGGCTCCGCGTTCAAGGGTCGCACAGTGGGGGCTCCATCTCCCCCATGCCGGGGGGCTCCCTCCTCACAGCTTTCCTGTGTCAGATGTCCAGTAAGCTGCTGACCACAGAGGGGCAGAGCCAGTAGGCCCGTGCTCCCGGAGTGCTCCCCCTGACCGCGGGGGAGGCTGCGCTCAGAGGGCTGTCAAGCACGCCGGACCGGAGGAGAGCCCAAGGCCTAGCGCCACTGAGGGAGCCGGGAGCTCGGCCCGGGCCTGCGCATGCTCAGAGCTCACCTCTCCCGCTCCCTGCTGCTTCGGGCTCTGCCCAGGGCGCGATGCCCGTCCTTGCCTCAGGACGGCACGTGGCCTGCTCCCTGCACATATGCCTTCTTCACTCTGCCATCTGCCTCCTACCTAACTTCTAGGCCTTCCCTGAAGTACCCTGCCATGGAAAGGACCCCGCGCCAGCCCAGGCCAAGCGATGGGACCCTTCAGAGCAGAGGGTGTCCTGTCCAGACAGCCCGAGCTGGGACACGGTGCTCTGTGACGCACATCGTGACCTTCATCGCAGAGCGCTCTCGTTCTTTGCACGCATTTGTCCATCAGCTGTGGTCTAGGGAGGCGGGAGCTGTGTCTTCATCATTATCCATGCTTTATCCCTGGTGCCCAGGCTTGCAGGAGGCGCTCCACAAGTGATCGTGCAAGGACGAAAGTCACCAGAAGGGACGGATGGGTAGAGGAGGAGGTGGTGGTCACTCAGGAAGCACCAGAAACAGAGCACGCCATTGGAGGGTCAGCTCTCTCTAGCCACTCTCTCCCTGATCTTGAAGGGCCAGAACTACACAGTCTTTCTCTTCAACTTATGCTCTTCCTAGGAGGAATGACTCCAGAACATCACACGTGCAGGTTCCTGGACGTCTCAGGGTAGACTGGGAACTCTCTCTAACCCCTCAGCCTCGCAGGGGTGCTGTTTCTGCTTGAACTCTGGTGTCTCAGACTGCTGCTCTGCTGCCCTGTGCTCTGCTGGACAGCTCCAGGAGGCACGGCTTCTCCCGACCCTCCACTGAGACTGGGTGGCTCTGGCTTAAGCGCTGACTCCTGGAGCTTTTCAGACTGCGGCTCTCTCCCTTGTGTGTTCGGGGCACATACAGAAATTCCCTGAGCTTGTGGTTGTCTAGGGAAACACTCCCAGTTCTGCTCACGGGGAACCTTTTCTGATTTCTCTGGCTGTGCTCCAGAGAAACAATTCTCAGCTCTGTTTGTAAAGTTTCCTAAAGACCGCAGCAGTGCCCAGTGGGAATGAACGGGCAGACAGTGAGAAAGGAGGGAGGGACGGAAAGATGCCCCTCAGAAAGACCCTCGAGAATTTCTCAGATCAGCCCTTGGGGCTTTCTTTACAATTAAGCACAGCTTTACGGTGGAGGACTTGACTCACCTATGGTGGAAACAGTTCAGCACAGCGGAGCCGGGCTTTGGTGCCACATAACCTGTGCTCGTGCCCCAGCTCGCGTCCTGTAGCGGGGCAGGACCCGGTCAAGACTCCTTGACCGGCCGGGTTACCGGGCTGGCGGGAGTACTAGGTAACGTCAGGACAACACCTCGCATGCAAGAGTGATTGGACGAGTGATACTTCACCCTCCCATAAGTCAGCCCGACTCCAGAGATCACGATAACATCTACTATGTGGTAGTTTTTGAAGCACACATTTTTAGGTGGAAAAGTAGGGGTCCCAGAGAGATGAAGTCTCCTGCCCTAGGAAACAATCAAGACCGAACCAGTGGGGGCAGCAGGGTGGGCGCCAGCATGGCACCTCGCAGTAGATTTGGGCAGTGCCCTGTGTCCTACTCACATGTCAGACAGACCAAGGCTGTTCGGACAGACAGGTCCACAAGCAGCGCCCAGCTCTCTGACGCCTGGGAGATGGCGAATGGGATGGTGATCTCGGCTGGGACGTGGAGCTGCAGGGCGTAGGTGAAGAAGATGCCAACAGAATACATCACCTTGGCCGACTGGTACAACCTGCAGGCAGATCACCCAGGGGACGTGAGATGTGGTGGCTCCTAGGAGTGGCGGTTAGGACTCACGCGGGCTTGGGAGCTGGCGCTTGTCCTGGAGTTACAGACTTGGCTAACGTCCCGAGACTCAGGCCGGTCTGCTTGTCAGAGCTCGGGAAGCTGGTTACGCGCATTCCTGGAGGCCCTGAGTCACACGTGTGCCTTGAGCGTCTACGCCGTTAATGTCTTAAGAGCTCATGTCTGCACAGAGCAAACTTCTCAGTATGGAAGTCGCACCGGCCAAAGGACCTTTCCTACCTTCCAGTTTTCCTCCCACAGGCAGCCGCTCTACGCTTTCTTGTGGCCTTCCAGACACCCTGTGTGCATACACGCTTACACAGGACACAAAACCCACATGTGCGCACACGTGCACACACGCACACGCATGCTGACATGCATGGTGGCCCACTCACCACACTTCTGGCCCCTTTCTCTTAGCGAATATTTCTTGGGGATTGACCTTTATCAGTACACATAGATGTCTCTTCTATTTAACAGCTGCTTGACATTCTAATTGTGTGGGTATAGTACAACTTTTACGCTAGTCACTGATGCAGATATTTAGATAATTCTGTCTCTTGCCAAGGAGACAGTGCTGCAAAGGATGCCTTTGTTTCGTATTTGTGCATATGTAATATACAACTCCAGAAGGCCACGTGCTGGCTAAGAGGACAGTGTGTGATTGTACATTTTGATGGCGACTGACCTATTGCTCCTTTGTGGTCCTAGCCAGGTGTACAAAAGTCCCTGCGTGTCAAAAACAGTGTGTGAGATGTGGTCTTTTTGTACAATTGGAGTACTACTCAGCTATAAAGAAAGATAAACTCAAGGATTTTATAGGTAAATGGATGCAACTAGAGACCATACTCATGAGGAAAATAAATCAGACCCGCATGTGTAAACACTGTATCGTCCCTCTAGTGTAAGAAACTAAAAGAGTAAATAAGATCCAAAAGGTACAATAGATACTGTGAAAGGGAAAGAAACTGCTCAGAAGGAAAGAACTGGGATGGGTGAAGGGAGAAAAGATAGCTAAGATAATTGCACTACTAACTGCTATTAGTTTATTGGAAGGAACAGTTACTGCTTATATTGTTTGGTAAATGTTACATGCCTATGTCTGGTAATCCAAGGAATTGCTTTGAAGATAGCAATACACAGTATACTAACCATTGTTAATTTCCTCTCATCTTGTTTTGAAATTCTGTATCTTTTTGTTGTTTTTTCTATTCTCTTCAAAAAAAGTGTGTTGTTGCGTGCAGGTTCCTACCATTGTGTTTTTTCAAATGGACTTTTCTACTGTTTTTTAAAGCTTCTTTGCAAATATAGAACGGTCATTTTTCCTTGCCTGTGACCTGTCTGCTCACATTCCCCCTCTCCCATCTTTCTGAGTTGTTGGCGCTTTTCTCATTGCGAAGGGCTGTTTGCTTATGGCTGCCATGGAGACGCGGCCGGGTTCACATTCGCAGGTGCAGAGTCTGGTTGGAACTCCGGTCATGTTTTGTAGCTGAGGTCCAAGAAAGGAGATTAGCTAATGGAGCCCAATTTTCTCAAGGAATATTAGGATGAGATCTTACTTATGAAAAATAGAGCGCCGCTTCAAAGAGATTCCACACTGACCACCTCACTTGGTCATTAGCACGTGGGGGCTGTGCGCCTGGCAACATCTTCCTCATTTTACATTGCTGGCTTTTGGGAAACACACACTTCATTCCCCTACTAAGCCCAGAAGCAACAAGGCTGTGGGGACACATGACATGGCAACACTAACACTTCACGTGGGCCTACTATGTGCTGAGAACTTTTCTGTGCATCTTTGGAATATTAAATCGGTTCATGCTCATAATCGCTCCCTGAGGGAGGATGGTGGTCATATGAGCCACTCACCAAAGCCCTCTACGCACTTTCTTGGCTCCTGGAGAACATGGAGGGCGGAAATGTGAACGAGAGAGATGCCCCCAACCCTGGGGGAAGCTCTGTGGCCACTGTGCTCTCTGCCATGGCAACCAGCAACCCCTTGGAGAGTAGCTGTTCCGCCAGTGTTGCCTTGGCTGCCCTGGTGTGGACAGTGACGAATGCAGACTTCTGTGAACAGCCATGGAGCAAGTTTGCCCCTGGAGCAGGACTTTGTCTATCCTATTGTTAGGGGACAAAGGGAGGGGGTGTAAGGAGAGCAGAGGGGGCATGGATGGCACTGACATGTGTCATGTGCACGTGCAGAGAAGTCACATTGAAAACTGGTATTTTATACAAAAAATAGTCGCAGTGGGCTACCTAGTGAGTTCGAGGCCAGCCTGGACTGTATAACAAGACCCTGCCTCAAAAAAATGGTAGGCTCTAGTAAAATATATCGTAAAAAAAATGAAGCCAGATGAATAAAAAAGAATGCAAAAGTGTTGACTGACTATTTGCCAAATTAAAGCATACTTCTTTCTTTTTTTTTGTCTTTTTGAGACAGGGTCTCGCTATGCGGTTCAGGCTGGCCTTGAGCTCACTTTGTAACCAGGCTGGTCTCGAACTCTCAACGATCCTCCTGCCTCAGCCTCCCTAATGCTGGGATTACAGGCGTGCGCCACCACGCCTGGCATTAAAATATACTTATTTCAAAAGTCAAAATTTTGCACATAAAAATGGATTATTCTGATTGAATTTTTAAATATATACGAAAACACTTGGAGAAGCTCGGATCTAGAACTTTTGTATAGAAGAGAGTAGTTTGTGCATTATTTGGTAAGAATATTTAAATAAGTAAAAACAAACACCTTCACATGCCTAAAATAAATAAATAAACTTAACTGCTGACATTAAAAAATAACCTGTTCTATGCAGACACGCCCTGTGTACATACAAGCTTATACAGAACACAAAACCCACACGTGTGCCCACGTGCGCACACGCACACACGTGCTTACATGCATGGTGGCATTCTCAGCACACTGTTGACCCCTTTCTCTTAGCAGATATTTCCTGGAGATTGACATTAATCAGTACACATAGATCTGTCTCTTCTATTTAACAACTGCTTGACATTCTAATTGTAATTGCCTGATACAAACAGGTACTAGAGTCATCCTCATTTTATGGAGGGTGGGTAAGGTATCCTGCCCAAAGTCTCACATGAACCAGGATGCAAACTCACTGATTCGCTTCAGAGCCTGTGCTCCTGAACGCGTGGCCGTCCCGACCCCTTCGTCACTACACGCCCAGTGCTGCCATCACAATAGCAGCTACCACGTGACACACGCCTACTACGTGCCAGCCCCTAGAGTCCTTCCGGGGCGTACGGATGAGGGAATGAGCGAATGAATGAGCTGACCAGGCTCCGCCTGGCTCATGGCAGTGAAGCTTCACGCTAGAACTGGGGCCGGAAGAGCTGTCTACCTCCGAGACTCCGGTCACTGCTTTGAGTTAGACTTTTGTCTAACTTGTCAGCCTCACATCATTCCTGTTTTAGGGACTTTATACTTTAGGTCAAATTGGATACAAGTTTCAGCTTCTCACAGACAATGTGGCTGGGAAAGTTACACGCAGTCTCTCAAAATGTCAGTTTCCAAGTCTATGCCATGGAGATGATAATGATAATGATAATAATAATAATAATAATGATAATGTTAACTCATAGGAGTGAGGTTAGAAATTAAAGGCAAAAGCGCATATTGCCGGGATCATCAAACTGACCTATTATTATACTAGTAAACTCTAATTAATTAATCCTCACATTAACACTTAGCACTTGCTAATGATAACCAAGGCATTGCCATTCTGTAACCCTTGGATCCTACGCTTCTTCTGATGCCCAGAGGGCCGTACCAGCAATTAGGCAAGTTGAGGGTGATGCTGGCCTGGGTGTCCGACCCAAACCTCATGTAGCCCGGTGTCCCCAGGCAGATGTAGAGGGCAGTGACAAGGGACATCCCCAGGTACAGGACAAAGGAAAACTTCTGTGGATTCTTCATCTGGTTTTTCAGAGGCAGAACCTGGGGGCAGAAAGTGTGGGAAAGAAAAGGTGGAAAGACGTGGGACATCGTGAAGATGCAGCTGCCCGCACAAGCACGGATGTCCTCCTCTGGGTTGGCTCAGGCTCAGGAACGGGCCTCCCAGGCCACGCTGCTTTCATTTTCTCTCATGCTCGCTCCTGTCAGGGATGCCACACTTGGCCCTGGCTGGTTAGTAAATTCTCACTTGGCCTTCAGGGCTTACCGTGGTACCTGGACCTGCAGGCACGCTGTGCACATATGCTAACTTTTCCTTCCTCGGGCAGTGATACGCTTCACTTTTCATAAATTCTACTAGACACCTGGAAGTAAAAACTGGCCTCCCCAAAGAGCAGCAGGGACTACTCACATTCAGACTCATGAATCTTACCATGCCAATGCTTTCAAATGTGAAGATGGTTGTACCAAAGAATAGAAGCAAGGTTTTCCAGTTTGCCATCAGGGGTAGGTTGCTGGGATATGGAATTCCCTGAAAAAACACAAGAGAAAGTCATTGGCTTTGCCATGGTGTAGGAGTCATCCCAAACCTTTCCTCCTAGAAGCTGGGTTAGACCCGCCTCACGAGCACTGGAGTCCCCACTGGGTACCTAGAACCAGGCTGAGCTGCGGAGATCATGATAAATCAAGGGCTTGCAGACTCCTGTCAAAATGTCATCAGTGAGCGGCACGTGACAATTAAGCTGCATCTGGTGGCAGGCTTTAAACCAGAATCCAACACTTATTTTAATCTGTGCGCGGTTTACCCATTATTTTATTTACCACGTCTGCCCATGTCTCTTTCTTGCTCTATGCGCTTATCTCAGCCACAGTTTTGCTAAGTCCACGAGTAACCCAAGCTCAAATGAATGAAAAACAAACATCACTGGACAACTTCTTTGAATGGGGTGGGCGGAGAAATCCAGTGATGAGATAGCAGAAGACGCTAAGACTGCCGACAGAAAGAAAGCGGCATTTAAATGAATACCAAGAGCGCTGCTTAAATTACAGGTTCACTGCAACAGATGATTCACATTCTCCAAGCCCGCTCTGTAAAATGTGATGACTGCTACGCAACGAAGCCACAAAACCTTCTAAACTGCTTTTCCACATGGAGACCAAGCACCCTGTATTAAAAGACAAGCGTTTGGAAATTTTAAAAAGATAAAAACATGAACATGAGAAACAGAAGCAACTGTTGAATGCCACCACTTCACCAAGTGTGCCTGCACTGAGCGCAGCACTTTTGTGTTTTTGTTTTTGGTTTTTTTTTGGTACCGGGAATTGAACTCAGGATTTTGCACTTACCAGGCAGGTGCTTGTACCGCTGAACTACATCCCCAGCCCCGAGTAGCATTCTTAGTGTTTAACTGCTTTGCTAAAGCTAAGAAGCCCTTTACTGTTGGTGAAGAGTTGCTCCTGCTTGCTGCTGAGGACATTTGTCATGAATGTTTCAGAGAGGTTGCAGTTGGAAGAGAGGCGTAAATTGACGAAATAGCAGTGGACCTGAGGCACAATTGCTTGAGAGGATTGGTGAGTCACTGTGGTTGGTGATTCTGTCCGTGTTGATGAGTCTATCTGTGCTGACAACCGGCAGCAATGCTGATTTTCATGTGATACATTTTTCAGGAAGATGTGCAAGAGGATACGTTATGCGCACCCCTGTTGCCAAACAATAACCACAGTTGTAGGGTTATCCAAGTACTTGAATGATTACATAGCAGGAACACCGAATGGGTTGTTCTGCGGCAGTATATACACAGGCAGAGTGGTTCCCTTGCATGCATGGCTTGCTGGTTTCACTAATGTGGTCAGAGAAGCAGCTTCTGAATGCGAGTTTATGCTTGGTGTCATCCAGGGGAAAATGCTGCTTAGCCAAAAAATGTCACCAGAACTCAACAATGTTTTACAGGGTGTGATTATCAACTGCATAAGTACCTGCCCTTAACTCACATCTGTTCACACAGCTCTGTGGGGAGCGGATGCAGACTACACCTGTCCTCTTGTACACAGGAGCAAGATGACTTTTTAATTGTGGATCCCAGGCCTGAGTTTTGAGTTATGAGAGCCACTCTAGAAATTTCTTTTAGGAAAACACAACTGGGAGCACATTTTGGTGACACGGAATGGGTTATAAAAAACGCTTACTCACGTGACATACTCAACCTGCTCAGCAAACACATCCTGTCACTTTGGAGGGGAACAGCAACTGTGTTCAAGTTGGCAGATAAAGTGGATGCATTCAAAGCCAAACTGAAATTAGGAGGGTGACAAGAGAACACTGGGATTTGTGATGAGTTTCAAACATTAGCAGAGATTTCAAGAGAGATTGAACCAGAGCCTTCTTTCTCCCAGGTGATGTATGATCACCTGTCTCAGCTTTCAGAAGAGTTTGTGCACATTATTTCCCAACCATAAAAGACCCCTGAACTGGAAAGAAATGGATCTGTGACCCCTTTGTGAATAAGCCAAGTGAATTGATTTTAGTTTTTTTTTCTGGTACTGGGGATTGAACTCATGACCTTGCACTTGCCGGGCAGGCGCTGTGCCGCTGAGGTAAATCCCGAGCCCCTTAAGCCAAGTGAATTGAGTTTGTCTGTGTTAGAGGAGGAGCAACTGCTTGAGGTCATAACTGATGGTGACCTTAAAGTATGTTTGAGGCAACTTCAAATCTCCATATATTCTGGATTAAAGTCAAGGGGGAATGTCCTACTATTGCCACAAAAGCACTGAAAAGCCTGCTTCTATTTCCAACATCCTGTCTTTGTGAAGCAGGGTTTTCTGCAGTGACAGCCACCAGAAAGAGACTACAAGACAGTTGGATATAAGTAACACACTGGGTGTCACTGCCCACTCCCCCAGGTGGGATGCTCTAGAGGCAGGAGAACAAGCTCAGGGCTTCTGAGTGTGCATTACGGGGCACTGTGTAATTATTTCATTATATGTTCAATGTCATAATGATAGAAATAAAGTGCACAATAAATGAAACACGCTTGAATCATCCCAAAGACATCATCCTGCCTCTGTCTGTGGAAGAATCGGCTTCCACGAAACTGGCCCCTGGAACCAGAAAAGCTGGGGCTGCCGGTTTAAGTGAAGGGCTGACTCATGAAGCACCAGGTAATGAGAGGAATGCAGCTCCAAGCTCATGTCGGGGCAGAAACTGGTCCAGGTGGGAACGGGAATCAGTGGTGCTGAGTAGGGTACCTTCAGGGAGAAAGGGATTCTGAATAACATCGTGGTCACTGAGCATGAGGGATAATGAAATGGCATCTGTATGATTATTATGGGACGTGGACAGTAAAGACTGCTCAGGAGGTTTCGCGGGGGATAGGGACTCTTTCAGGAACTGACTAGAGCCCATGCTTGTATGTACCTACACCTGCAACCACTCATTTACATTTTGTCTATGCCCTGAGGCTGCATGTTTATCTGGCAGAGGAGATCCCAAGGCAGCACAGCTTCCAGACTTTGAAGCTGTCTGGTGCACAGGGAGTGGAGGACACTGTGTCCATGGATCTGGACAATGACGGTACAGATGTGCAGGAGCTTAATGAGAACCCTAGGAGGAGCTGATGATGGAAGAATCGCTGAACTCCAGAACGAGCAGCAAAGCCGCTTGTGGAGGAGTGGAAGAGGAAGAGGAAGATAGGGAGGAGGTTGGCAGTGGTGTGATGAAATCCACTGTGGGAACATGGAAGGAGCACCAGGATTTCTTTGGGAAGCACTACGAAGCAGACCTGAGCAGGACTTAAATTAATCAATTGGCTTTTCATGTTCACTTGTGAATCTGTCCAAGGCCTAGGTTCCTTATCTGGAAATAGTGGACTCACAGTAAATGAACCTCTGTGAGAACCTGCAGTGGTGGATGAAGCCAGAAAGCCTCAAAGGACAAGCCTAGATCACAGCCAAGGACACCTGGATCAGATCTCAACTGGATAAAGACCATAGCCTCAGGCACCTCATTCTTCAGTAGATTAATTTAATACCTTACTTAGAGAAGTCCTTGAGTGGTTCCGCCTTTCTTGAGTACTCCCCTCCCTTCCTCTGATAACCAAATAAATACAGGCCATCCAGAGAAGGTCTTGGTCTTAGCCCTGAGAGAATCTTGAATTGTGTGGGAGGGCTTTGATTCTCCTGGAGACCTGAAATCATTTCATTTGTCTCTTTTTATTTTGTCTTCCCAGTACACTCATTCAGGAGATTGCAGACCAGATCAGCCTGCAATAACTAATGGATATTATTAACCTGATAAGCACCACTCCAACATAACTGTAATGCACAGAGTGTTGAGTCTGATGAATGATAATGTGGTCTTTCCTTTCCAGAGGGTCATTCGGCATAGGAAAAAGTAAGTGATAGTAGACAGATTTTTTTTTGTCAAGATTGACTCTGCAGCTAAGGGACAAAGAAGAGAGGATTGCCCTGCAGGAGACCTTTCTATGTCCTTATGGAGAGGACTCTCCCTGCAAACAGTAACCCTTCCCACCCACCTTCCCGTCCTCCACCCCAGAAGTCACCTCTAGCAAGGTTAGTGTTCGTGAACCGAGGCACCACTGTATTTGTCACAGTGGCAATAGGGAACTAATCTACCATAAAAACTTTCAGACCCAAAGAAATGACACTGTGAAGGCAGAATTCAGGACCTGTGAGGATAGGAGAGCACAGGCCTGGGAGGCAAACTGACTGGAATTAGTGGGAAAACCTCTTTGTATTTATTGAGCTCCTTGTCTGGAAAGGAGATGAGGATAGCCCTCCCCAAAAAGTATCACCGTGAAGATCCAATGGGATAAAGCACTTGGCAGCAAGAAGATGAAGTCCTTTTATCATCTAGGTATCCCTGTCCAACTGCTACTGTTACAGTTTTGGGTGGTTATTCCCTAAGTGTGACTCTCCCCATGTGAATGTGACATCTGTGACAGTAGACACTTAGCTATTTTTTCACTTGCCGTTGAATTCTAGTCATCCCTTGCACAACACCAGGTTACAGAAGGTATTCAGAAACTGTGAGCTGTGGAGTGACACATTGTTGTCCGATATGACAATGAGGAGGAGGAGGAGGAGGAGGAGGAGAGAAGGACGCTGATGATTAGTTTGACAGCTCAGGGGACAGAGGTGTTCTTAGATATACCCTTGGCAGGGACTTCTCAGAGCAAGGGCCACCTTCCTCACCTTCACCTGCCCATTATGAGCTCAACCCTCCCCGAGCCTGACCCCCTTCCTCCATGGCTTCAGACAAGACCTGGATGATGTACTCGAAGATCAGGGCCATGCTCCCCAGGGTGGTGATGTTGGCCAGCATTGAGAATATGGACAGCAACCTGAGGTTCTGGATAAACGCCAGTATGATCAGGAAGGGCAGGATTGTCAGCATGTAGAAGCGCATGTCCAGGATAGGGGTCAGCATCGGGATCTCCCTGGGCTGGCAGGTGTTGGAGGTGATGTGAGCTTCTTCCATGACCTGAGTGAGAGCATAATGAAAGGTGGGGTGGTGGTGATCAGCAGAGGATGCCCAGTGCAATTAGAATTTCAGATGATCAGCAGATAACTTTTTAGTACAAACACACTCCAAATATTGCATAGGTCGCACTTAAAGTGAAAAGAAAATAGTACTGTTTATCTGAAGTTCCATTTTAACTGGGTGCCATGTGTTTTTATTTTCCAAATCTGGGTACCTTAACTGCGGTGCCCATGAGTGTGATAACCAGAAACACTTAGAATCATAAAATCTCAAGGCTGAAAGTTCCTTTTGTCATCTCGCCCAATCTTTTCCTCCCCACCTAGTGGTTTTCTTCTGTATAACTAGGTGAAGGGAGCTCATCACACATACACATCCTCTCCAACCTTAGCGCTATCAGTTGGAAATCTGCTTGAACTGCCCTTCTCTAGAGCTGATCGGAGGTCTTTCTGGCTGTGTGGACATGCAAAAACAGGTGTGCTCCTCTGTCCCACAAAGCTGAGGAAGAATGCTAGGACCAATTTGCAGAGTACATTAGAGATGCAAGGAGGGAAGGTTGCAATTGATTTGCCTCATATTTAGTTAGTTCCGCATCTTTTACATGACATCATGGGATAGCCAAAGTGCTTTTCAGGCTGAACATCAAGTTAACTTGGCTCCTCTCTCATCCCTTCAGAATGTGATTCTCAGGACTGATAGAACTCCAATTGTGGTCTAATCAGGGGGTAGAAGTGAAGCTGTCACCTCCCTTGACATAAATGTTATGCTTTTTCTAGTGTAACTCTAGCAGTGAGGAGTCTGCTTTCCCCCAGGCTGGTGAGAAGAGGCCTCTTTACCTGTTGTAAACTGTCTGCGATAAACATAAAATAAACACTGCAGAAACCCAGCTGGTAATGATTAATAAGAAGCTGACAGTGTACCTGAAAAAGAAAAGAGGCAGAGAGAGAAAACAAACATTAAAGTTATTTTTAAGAGTGCTTTTTATATTTTTTTAACAATTACTATAGTTTTTTTTTTTTCTTTTGACTGCTTCATGTGGTTCTGGGGATGGAAACCAGTGCCTCTTGCATGTTAAGCAAGTGCTCTACTATTGAGCAATGTCTCCAGTTTTATACATAGCATTATATTAAAACCCTTAAAAATTTTAAGTTGCTATATTCTCCTTGCTCTGTTTTTTTCTTCTGTGCAGACTTTTACTTTGTGGTTGCTCTGAAGACCTCAGGTGTCTGTCTTGTAGTACATCCTGCTTCCTGGATTTGGTTGATGACTTCCTCATGCCATCATCTGTCTTGTTCCTCTATCCCCTGTACTTCTTGTAAACTGGTATTAGAGCCCATGATTTGATTTGATGACATCTCTTCATTTATTTTTTAGCAAGCATATTTCAAAAGTGGCATTTGTTCCTACACCTGCTACAGTCCATGACAAGTGTGCCTGGCCATCCCCTGTCTAAAGGCAGTGCTTGGTGCTAAGCTTAGTACACAGGCCTGGGGCAGCAGGACTGCTTCCTTCATATTCCCACTGGCTTTTCGCCTCAGGCTTGCTCATGCATGAAACATTGCCTGTCTCGGATGGACAGCATCCAATCAAGCTCCACAGGCATATCAGGTACACTCAAAATTACAAATCACTGGTTGAACCAAAATTATTTCCCCAAATGTTTCCAACTCCCTTTAAGCCACTGTATATCCAAATAAATGGCACAGTGTGAGCTTGATGTGTGGGAGCTCCACGTTTTGGGTTCTGCTCCTTGGTCTACCACTAAACTCCTGTGTGATCCTGAACAACGTTATTGCCCTCTGGGGTTCATTACACTGTTTCTGTCTCAGCAGGCATGAATAAAGTAAACTCTAAAACCATTCCTGCCCTAAATGTTTATTCAGTGTCATCAGAAATTGATCATCGCCCCGTCTGTCTGATAACTAGAGTGACTCCTGACTGGGAGGACGAGCTCCTGAGAATCCAGGGCAGGAGAGGCAGAGGGTGGAGGCAGCCACAGCGTCGACTCCTGCTTCCCAGAGGGCTCTGCTGGGCAAGCTGCAGTGTGAGGGTCTTGGCAAATCTCTGCTTCCCCACTACCAACGTCGTTGCCTTGGATATGGTATTTTATCAGCTCATTGTGTCCAGGACAATAAAATTCCACTCAGCCAAGTGTGGTGGCGAACACCTGTATCTCAGGACTTGGAAGGCTGAAACAGGAGGATCACCGTGATTTCAAGGCCAACCTGGGTTACGTTAGCGAGACCCTGTCTCAAAAACAAAATAATAGCAACAAGAAAAATCCCGCCCTGTCTACCTCGCAAGGTTGTCAAGATGATCAGCGATGCCAAGGTGGAAAACCGTTTTGTACGTCGTTCACTTTTTATCAAGCGAGGGAAGGCCACCCGGTGGGGCTGAGGAGATTTCCCAGAGGGTGGGTGGGGACCTCAACTTCTCCCCACCCGCAGGGCAGGCAGTAGGCTCCCGACTTGAAACTTCAGGTTGTGTTGGTGAGAGTCATCGATTAACGAGGCGGAGTTAAAGAAATCACACTCAGCGAATAGAGCGTGATGTAATCAGGGAGAAGTGTGCTATGGGCTGGGCAGCGACCCTGTGCGTTCTTACTCTGTTCTGGGTGCCGTGCTTAGGACAGACGCCCTCAGACGTGTACCCCCAGTGTCCGCAGGTTGCTGGGGCTGACAGGTGAGGGCTGGAATGTGAACACCCACAGTTTGCATTCTGGAAGTTTACAGATGTGGTGCCCCGTGGACAGCACGCTGCTCTGAGGTGCAGGACTGTGGCATCCGTGAGCGGTCAGCACTGGAAGAAGAGCAGGGGCCGAACCCACAGGAGGAAGGCTGGGGCCAGTGTCCAGGCTTAACGGGTCCTTCAAACTCGTGGGGATCTAGGAGTGAGGAGCCCAGAAGGGGGACAAAGCAAAACCACCCCAGCATTTAGGGTTAAATAAGCAGGTATTGTAATCTTAGGTAACTTTTTGTTCTGCAGGTGCAGTTTTCTTAAAAGTCCAGTTTTTTTTTTGTTTTGTTTTTTGTTTTCTGGTACTGGGAATCGAACTCACGACCTTGTGCTTGCCAGGCAGGCGCTGTGCCGCTGAGCTAAACCCCAGCCCCCAAAGCCCAGTTTTAATAGTATGATTTTCCTGTCTCCTTTCCGTCCGTCTTTATTTCTTCTCTCCTGCCCACCCCAGGATCAGCCTACGTGCTCACACCTTGGCGGGAGGAACAAAGAAAACCGCGGTCCACAGCCACCCTGGGGAGCACCGGGCGCCTTAACGAACAGTGGGCTGCGTCTGTCTGTCTGTCCCGCAGTGGAAGGCATGGAGGCACAGAATTTGATGAAAAAGCACATTTCTAAAACTATGACTCTAAGTAAGGCGCAAGAAAACATGCAGCAAATTATAGATGTCTACCGGTCAAATTGTACAGGTCGAAGGGCGTATTTACGCGCTGGGTAGGAACTACCCCGTTTGGATGAAGGGGTGAGGAGAGGGCTCCGCGGGCGTCTCGGCACTGTCTGCTGACTGCCAGAAGGAACACATTCATTTAAAGCTTGTGTGAACAGAAATACAGTCAGGACAGGAGAGAACAGTCACGACAGCCGCTATCCCTGCAACCCCGAATCTGAGGATCCACCTGCCCCACTCCGAGTGGGTCCTCAGCCAGGGGCTCGAGCAGCTTTCCAGGCTGTACATTGTGGTCTCCCCGTAGTTCACAAAGGTCTTCTGCAGCCTGGAGGGAAGGACACAGACTGTGTGACTGGAAACGTTTCTGTGGCAGGACCGAGCACTCCCCGAGAGAGCAACTCGCACACACGAGTGTTCACATGGGGTGCGCGGATGGTTTCCTAGCAATAGTGCAGTTTATATGCTTTCTGGAGTTTGCCTTTTATTCTTTGTTTTTTTGCAGTATTTTTTAAAGCACAAATACTTAAGCAGACCTCACTGGATAGAGTCAACAGTGGCTTGCAGGGATTTAGATCAGAAAGTGACAGAGGGCGCGGGCAGGGGCAGGAGAGGGGAGGGGGCGGGTGTGCCTGGCCCCTCACCATCTCTGGATTTCCGCTCCTCTTTCCCCTCTCCCAGGGTGCGTGATGGGCTCAGACACCCGGCCTGGACCGGATCCAGGCAGACACACCCTGCTAGGATGCGATGCCCAAGTCCCAGGCTCTCCCTCTTCCTGGGTAGACCTCACCAAGGCAGGTGAAGGCCCGGCTATAGAACCATCTTGGTTCTGGGCAGGTGGAACTTGGGGCAGCCACAGGTCACTAAGGCCCAGGAGACTCTGCTAGTTGCAGAACTGCTAAGACTCAGAAAAGCCCCAGGCACGTTGGGAAATCAGGGTTTGAACCCCACATCCCTGCAGACCACTGGGGACCCAGAACCATCTAGTTCCAGGCTTCGCACTTTTCCTGGGCAGTCTAGGGTTGGGGAGAGACCGTGAGGGGTGGATACGGGGTGCGGTGGAGAAACCTCTTCTGTCTGCCTTGGGGATGGCTTTGAACACAGCTGTCTCCTTCAGCCAGCTCCTGTGCCTGAGCTTTGGTCGGGGTTGCAAGCAGAGCAGGTGTCTGACTCCCGTGGCCTTAGCGAAATGGTTGCAGGTTAAAAGAATAGGGCCAGGCATGGTGAGGATGCCGGGATTCTCAGCTACTTGGGAGGCTGATGCAGGGGGACAGTGAGTTTGAAGTGAGATCTTGTCTCAAAATTTAAAAAAATAATTTAAAAGAGGCCTGGGACGCAGCTCAGCAGTGGAGCACTGGCCTCGTGTGCACAAATCTGCGCTCAATCACCAGTATGGTGGGGGCAGGGCAGGGGGAGAAAAGAAAGAAAGAAGGAAAGAAAGAATAGGGTGTCATGTTACAGTGCATGTACCACTCCCTGCAATGAATGCGGTCATTAGGTACTGCAAACATGTTCTAATAAGAATTTTCAAAAAGAAAAAATTTTAACGTGCAGTCTCCAGGCTTTTAAACATTGGCTTAAAAAACAAACCCCAAAGGCTGCCTGAGGGCCACAGTCAGCTCATCGGCCATCAGCCTAAAAACTCTGCGTTAGGAATGGGAGAGAAGTCACAGCAGAACCTCAGAAAGAGACGGCCACGAGCGCCCAGGTGTCAGAAGCCTGCGTGGCCCGCAGCATGGTCTGGGGAGGGCAGGTTTACAAAATGCACAAGAATGGAGTCAGACAGGTCTCCGAATACCAGTTCCGCCGCTTCTTAGCTGCGTGACCCTGGGCAAAGCAGTTAAGCCTCACTCAGTTTGCTCATCTGTAAAATGAGAACAAAGTGCCTACCATAGAGGGTCGCTGGAAGGCTCCGCCGTGCTAACCCGCCTGGCAAACTCACACAATTAACGTAATTACTGGATAAGCAAAGGCTCCTAAAGGTGTTTCCCGGGCTGCAGGGTGCTCCTGGATGGCCGGCCGGGGCTCCAGGTGCGCCTGCTTGTGCTCCATGGATTTGGCTTTATAAGGCGTTTAATTCAGTGTCCCCTCTTACTTGAGCTCTTTCCCCTTAGGAGACCTACTTGGATGTGAAGGCTTTGGGAGCGCTGAGGCCCGTGATCTCATTAGTATATTTGCTCACTAGCATATTTGTTTTCATTGCAATTGTCTTTTCTCTCAATAAATTATTATAATCAACAACACACACTAACTGTACAGGTCAACGGGGTCGCTACGTACCCGGATGTACCCATCCCTACTTCTGCTTTTGGCTTCTCTTTCTCTGGTCCTCTCCCCCTCCCTCCAGTGCCAGTCCCAGGGCCTACATGTCCCTCTTAATCTTTTTCTATCCTTTCTTCCTCTACCCGTTCCTAGCTCTAGGGGCTGCTTTTCTGGCTCGTACTTCCACACAGTTGACGCATTGGATTCTGTAAGTGGTTGAGAACGTGCGCTGCTTGTCTTTCTGTGCTTGGCTTTTTTCACCCAACATTCTGATCTCCAGTTCTAATCACGTTGCTATGAATGGCAGGACCCCATTCTTTTTCATAGCTGAGTAGTATTCCATCATGTCTTTTCTTTCTGAGATTGTTTTTTGCATTAAAATTTCAAATGGCTGAACCTTGAGTGTTATGTGGACTTTTAAGGGCTGAAGTCGTTGTAAATGACTCATTTCATTGTAAGTATGTGTATTGCTTTTACTAAGTTGTCCTGAAAGGGGTTTGCCTGGAACAAATTACCCTGGCAAGGGGTGGGGAGATTAGAAGGAAAAGCAGGTAGGTCTAAGCATCTTGCATGTACCTGGTGGTTCATGGGGTGCTTCTGCATCTACTGGGGACCCAGCTCAGGGGGTATGGGATGCCAGTGAACTCTGTCAGCCTGTTTAGCACCTTTAGGATGGACAGCAGTTGGGGAAGGGGCTGGGGAGGCAGCCCCCTCAGTCAGGCCTGCAGTCAAGGGGTTTGACTCCCCCGGGCGCAGTGGTGCTGGGTGAGAGGGAGGCGGCCCTGACCTCCGTGTGAGGCGCTGTGTGCAGTTCAGCAGGATGACCATGCAGTGCACCGTGAGGATCCCCATGGCCAGCAGGCTGACCAGCCCGACCTGGGGAGAGGACAGGTGGACGTTAGCTGCCGGCCCGCCGTACCTTCCCTGGCCTCTTCTTAGAACGCTGCCTGGGACGGGACACCTGCGGAGTGCCCCGGGCCCTGTGGGTTCTGCACCACCCCAGGACCCCAGCCTCCCCTCCAGCGACAGAGCGCGGCACTCCCCACAGCTGTGTCTCTCCTCCTCTGCCTCCGGGGCTAGCCTGTGAGCGTCCTGACGGCAACTTTAACCCCTGTATGAGCCCTGGTATAGCAGCAAAGAAGGCCAAGGTAGATAGAAATTGACGTGTAGTCAGACAATCACTGGGCGGCCAGGAAGTCAGCACCAAAAAACAAGGACGTCAGAACTGGGGCCTGAGGCAGTCTGAAAGAGCCAGGCCCCCACCGAGGGGCAATAGCCAGGCCTGCGGCAACTTAGGGTTGCACTGTGATTAGCACCACCTGGCCCCCTGGGCCCTGAGAGGCCCCCAGCGGATAGGTGGGGATCAGAGCATGTGTGCTGCCCTCTCCTCCCTTCCCAGGGATTCCTTTGATCCTTCCCTGCACCCCTGCTGTGGGACGTCTTTCCCTGTTGGAGCAGTGTTAGCTGAGCGGCTCTACTGCGCCTGTAACCCCTCAGGTTGTAGTCGGGCCCACGCTGTCCCCACGTGGTGACTCTGCTGTGGGAATTCCCCCCACTGGGGGTCGCCCTGTCCCTGAGGAGCTTTCTCTCAACCACCTTTTCTACTCTTAACCACCTTTGTCCCTTGGAATTCGTTCCTCCGCATCCGGGTAACGCAGACTCAGCACATCGGACATCCAGCAAGTCGGGAGGTGCAGTTTTCCTCTGTCGCTAGCTCTCACCTCCCCTCAGACACTGGAAGACCAAGGTCCCTTTGATGACCGAGTTCCCTTCCTTTCTGCGTCCTTAGCATCGGGGCTGTGAGGTTCTGCTGTACGGAGTGGGCTGTGCCTTGTGGGTAGCTGAGCAGTGTCCCTGGCTTCTGCTCACCAGCTGTCAGGGGCCCCCCAGGATGTGACAATCCCGAATCTCTCGCATTGCAATGGGGGGTGCACACCATGATCTTGGTTGGGGGTCACTGCTCGTTTGTATCCAGTTGATCCATATTGCTTTAAAAAAGTGTGGCCAGTTTTAAATAATCTCCCAGATGCGATCAGCAAGGCCAAAAGGGGGATTCTCCCCCTGCTTTGCTGTGGACACCTGTGCCCTGAGACAACATTATCTGTCACAGAGGAACAAGTGAAGGACCAGGAGCACATGCCCCCGGCTTCCTGTGGTGGTGCCTCCTCGGGCACAGGCTTCCCTGTCTTGTTGGCTTTTGTACTCCCAGGGCCTGAGGCTGCACATGGTAGATGCACAGTAAGTATCTCTCAACCGGATGGGGGTCAGGGGTTCTGGGGGAGGTGGGGGTGGAGAAATTGTACAACAACTCTTAGGAGGAACATTCCAAGTCTAAAAGAGCCACCTTAACAGGCCCCACCGCAGGGCAAGGACAGTCTGGCTGGAGGTGAACTGGCTCCACGCCTTTCCTGCAGGCCCTTAGGGCCTGGAGGACTGCAGAGGACTGGGTCCCAGCTCTGGGTTGGGACCACTGCAGGTCAAGGCAGGGCAGAGGAAGCAAGGGCCTTGCTGTACTTTCCTTAGAGCTGGGGGCCCCTTGCAGTGCGAAAGTGTACATTGGTATCAGTTCAGTGCAACGGACATTGAAGGGCTTCGTGCATGCTGGGCAAGGTGTGAAGGGAAGCCAGGCTGCTGGGGACCTCACAGCCTCCAGTGAGGTCAGGAAGAAAGCTCCAGTACACAAAGAGGCACCCCTCACCTCAGTAAGCACCTCAAGAATTTAGGGGAGGCAAACATAGTGGTAGAGAAATACAGGGTGAGGGCAACACGGACATTCGTAGGAGACAGTGCAGTTGAGAGGGGAGGCAAATGTCAAAAGCAGAAGAAGCGAGGATCAGGCAAGGGCGCAGCCCAAGAGACAGCTACCAGGTGCGGGGAGGTGCTCCTGGGGCCCCCGTCACACACCAGCAAATGCCTTAAACACACCCGAACCTCCGCAGGAGGGGCTGTGTGAGTGAGTGAGGTGGGTGACAGGTAACTCTGGGGGCTGCCCGGGACAGTGGCAGAGGTCAGTGGGGCCGTGTGACCCCTCAGGGATGCCGGGCCTGGCTCAAGGTTGGCTGCAGGACACGGAATAGCACGCTTCCTGTGGAGCAGGCACCCCCAAATTGCCCACGGAGGAACTACAAAGGCCCTAGAGACCCGCTGCCCCCGTCCAGTGGGCGCCTCGCTCCCCGCCCGCGGTGCTCCTTACCAGCAGGCCTGCGTTCTTTATGGCCAGGGGCAGCCCCAGGAGCCCAGCGCCGAGGCTGCACTTCAGCAGGTGGATCAAGGTCTGCGTTGGCCTGGGAGGGGAAACGGAGAGGAGAGATGCTGTCAGGGGGCGCGTGTGGGCTCCACGACTGCCGGGAGGTGGACAAAGCCGGGTGTGCGGGCTCCATTGGAACCCTCAGCCCCCGTTCCCGCGGCTCAGCCAGTAATGCACACACCGCAGGCTCCAAAGAAACTGTGAATGCAACGCCCCCACTCCTGGAGAATGCCCCAGTGCCAGCTGGTTTACTAAGTCTAATCATTTGTTCGTGATTTACTCACTCAAATCTTATTTACTGAGATGGGTACTTATCTAACCTTCGGACAGACAAAATCAGTAAGAACCGCTGCAATTTTCAGAGTGTTTGTTTCAGAGTGTTTCAGGGTGTTTCAGGGTGAAAGCCATTCTTTGTAGCACCAGGTCAGTTTTAACTCACCCTCCAGGAAAAAGCCCCGGAGTCCTCTATGGAGCTTTTAGTGGCTCTAGTTCACCTCTCAGCCACTGGCTCAAGTGATGTTCACTGTGGACCTGGATTGAGATAGACACAGCTCCGTGGGCTGTGTTGTGTTAGAGCTATGCTACGCACTGGATACGGGTAAGGGTAATAATTTAATAGCTGCTGCTGCAGTCCACATGGAATATTCGCTGAGTGCCAGTGTTGGGTACCCAGTTCTGTTCCTCACAGTGGCACTGACACGGATTGTGGGGGGTGGAGAGTAGGACCTACGAGAGGATTCACAAAAGGGACTGAAGGGGATGGCGACTCTTAGCGTATCATTTTAAGATAGAATGATTCTAGTCTTAGTACAAGCCTCAAAATGTGTCTTGAGAAACATCCCAGAGGGGTTGTAAAGAGTTAGCTTTGCAGTCCTGACTTTGCCCTGGGAATGCTTCTCCAAAGACAAAGAACACCCCGGCCCAGATAACCACCTATGACCCTGCCTGGGTTATTTCATCCCTTCCCTGGGCCTAGATAAACACTGTAACCATGAAGAAAATGTATGGTTATCTAAAGGGCGAAAGATTTATACGATGTGAAGAGAAACCAGAGTATGTGTATGGTTATCTAAAGGGGGACATATAGAACAGAGTACAAGAAGTGTATATCATTGTGATTGGGCTCGTGACCGGAGCCTGATCCAGTCACGTGGCACAAGGAAAACAACGTGTGGCCAGGGCTACAACATTCCTATCTGTTACCATGCAAACCAAAAATGTATATGAGGCAGGAACAAAGGCAGGCAGGGGCCCACGTTCCTGCAAGTCAGGGATGAGGGGTGACTGGTCTAAATTTATTTAATAAACTCTGTTTGCTGTAAATAGAGTCCTCGGTCTCTTGTGGAATACAGCCTGATTTTTGCCGTTACAGGACTGAAAGGAAAAGTGAGTACAAAAGCCCTGAATTCAGAGGCTGAAGCCCGACTCTGAGTTCTGGCTCTGCTATTCCCCTGATGCATTTATTATGCCCTGGGGAGCCCATCAGCGGCTCACCCCCTTGGTCTCCTCATCTGTCAAGGGCATTGGCGATAATCCTGGCCCTGCCTATGCCCTCAGGATATGTAAGAATGAGGAGGTCACAGCATCGCAAAAAGCTGCCCAGCTGTGGACATCATCGTCTTCAAGGTCACCACCAGTGTCTGACCTTGGCAAGTCACCAGTGGCAAGGCCACCGCCAGGAGCAGGTAGAGTTGCTGAGGGGGAGAGGAGGCCAGGGCTGTGTGACCGGGAGGGAGTCCCCTCGCCTGGATGCAAGGCCCCGAGGAGGAGGCTGTGGGGGTCTAATCTCCTCTGGGGCTGCGCCACCCACAGGCCCGGGGGCCACATGAGAGCAGAGAGCAGCTGCCCAGCCAGTCCAGCACAGGGGCCTCAGGCCCAGGGCGGCGTCTCACCCTTTGGGAAGTGGAGGCCGCTGTGTTTCAGCACTACCCCGGGATGCTGGGGTCAGGAGCACAGGCGGCCCCTTCCCTTCTGAGACTCACCAGTCACAGTTGTGTCTATTCACCCAAGAATGGGAGGCACCAGTTATCCCCAGGCCTCCGAGAAGCAACTTTTTTTTTTTTTTTTTTAATTTTAAAGAGTAAAAGAAGGATAACATAATAATGGGGGGACTTAGCAAATTACAGACAAAATGGTAGGAAATTATCAATGGCTATTGTTTTACATATTGTTACCTACAAAATAGTTTCTCAGGAAAACAAATAGACAAATAATAGTGAGTTAGAGACAAAAGAGGTAGGAGATTATCAAGAGTTGTTGTACTATACTTTGGTATCTTCAAAGTGGCTTCTAAAGAAAATAAATAGAACTATACATGAGTGACCTATTGAAAAATCATTAACTATTCTCAATGGTTGTTGTAGGAAACACATAATAATAAACATACATCCATTTATGAAATAGGATAGGAACATTACAAACTTTACACAGTTATGGATAGATTAGTAGGAAAATATCAATGGCTACTGTAATACATGGTGGTATCTTCAAAGTGGTTTCTCAGGAAGACAGAGATATGCAAGAAGGATCTAATAAGTAGTTACAGCCTAAGGGTTGTCAAAAATAGCATATTACCTCCTCACCAGAGACTCCTTTCACTGAGGTATGATGGCTGGAAGGAAGGCCAGGATTGAAAAGAAGGACCGAGAGACTTGCACCTGTGACTAGTAACAGGCTGTTTTCTTGTTCCTCCATAGTCATGATTACCCAGGACTCCTAGATGGAGATGACGGTCTGGCCAGAGGGCGAAGGCAGAGTATGCCCCAAGCCCTCTCATTCCTGTTGGACTAACTGGTAGCATGGGTCTGAGCTCTGGGGCCTCCACCTCAGAGGGCAGACCGATCTCCAGTGGTCTCCTTTGCATCCAGGGCATGGCCCATTGGGCCTCCCAGGGCAGTTCCTCTTGAGGTGGCCCGGCTTTTAACAGTGGTAGCAGATGAATGCAGTTCTTGAGTTCTTCTTGGGGCCCCGGGAATCAGACCTGGGATCTGTTTCTCTTAGTGGTGCAGTAAAAGCAGCTGCTTTTTCTCGGTCTCTTTGTTTTCTCTCGTTGGCCTCCTCCTCATCATGGCTATAGAATACTGAGGAGGCAACTCTTACTAACATCTCAAGTGAGCTGTCTGGGGTGAAAGCCATTCTTTGTAGCTTTTTCTCTCCAGCTTCCCATTGCTTTGGGACCCCACAACCAGTTAGTGTCCTCTCCCCAACTATCAACACAGGCAGCAGGAATCTTGCTGCAGACCTCTCCAGAGCTCCACCACAGCCTATACTGTCAGGGGAAGAATGGCTTCCAGAGAGTCTCCACAAGTTTTGTGCAAGGTCCTCCTGGTTTACAGCTTCCAAATGGCTTTCATGAACACAGTCCAGAGGACCTCTGACTCCTCGGGCTTAGTCTGTATTCTCATGTTCTCCAAGTCCTTGTTCAGCAGCTGCTCCTTCGCTGACTCTGGACCTTTCTGGTTCTCAATGGCAGGAGCAAGAGTGACCTGTTGTATGGCATGTATTCCCAGGGGTTCCTCCATGTTTGAATGATTCAGACACATCTGTGGGTGGGCATCTGTAGCTGGTGCATGGTGGGCCAATTGTGTCAGTGTTTCTCTGTGTCATGGTAGTTCTCAACGAAGCAGTGGTGGCCGGCCTGAGGGCTGGCGTGCAACAGCGCTCACCACCGTGTGGCTTCCTGTGCACCAGAGCCCCTCCTCCCAGGTGGCCATTAGGCTGGGGGCTGGCCCAAGGGCCAGCGCTCCCAGCCCTGTGGCCTCCCGGGCACTGGGGGCCCTCCCTCCAGGGGGCTACGAGGCAGGAAGCTAGCCAGCCAGAAGAGCGGAATCCCACGCAAGGACTGCTGAGCAAACCAGCCCTCAGCCAGCTTTCTCTATGCATAATATGCACTACACGTTTCCACCCCTGCAGATTTACTTGTAATGCTGAATTCTCCAGTATGTTTTTTTTTTTTTTTCCTCCGGTACCAGGAACCGAACTCACGACCTTGCGCTTGCCAGGCAGGCGCTTTTGCCGCTGAGCTAAATCCCCAGCCCCTCTCCAGTATGTTTATACCACACTTTAACCATTCCCTCTGACAGGGTCTGGATATGTAGCCAGAAGGGCCTTGAGCTTGCAATCCCCCTGCCTCAGTCTCCCAAGGGCCGGGATTGCAGAGGTGTGCCACCACACCCGGCTTTAGCCATTCTTATTGTTTCCACGTTTTCAGTATTGTCATCAAGCTTCAGTAAATACCTTTGCTGTCATGAATACCTGTGCTATGATCTCAGTGAAAAAGATTCCTAGAAATGGCATAATTGATAGAAGGGTGCATTTATTTCCGTTTAATTATACTTAAGAACAAAGCGAGGTGGTGACACAGCAAGAAATTCAAAAGTTAAAACAAAACAAAGCGCAGTAAAAACCTCGGGGAACGAATAGAAATCTCTCAGCCCTGTCTCTCAGCCTCCTGACTTCCTTCCCCACAAGGAGCTACTGCTTTCCGTTGCATTTGCTCTCGTGTGTGACACACCTGCTTTCCAAGGTAGCACACGCCGAAGAAGAAGCTGTGTGCTTTACACGAGCAGCATTTTAGGGTTTGATGAAGAACACTGTCCACCGGAGAGGTGCTAATCTGACTCTCCCCCAGAGGCGGGCACTCCCAGGGTGCTGGTCGACGCTGGCACAGCCGCAGAGAGGGCACAGCTCACAGTTACCCAGTCTGCTGGCTGGGGAGCAGTCCTGCTGGCAATGAAGTCCTAGAGGAAAAGTTCCGATTTGGGGCAGTAAAAGTAGGACGTGGAGTTAGAAGGTGAGATTTCGTCCTGTGTTTCCTGCAGGAAGGGTTGAGGGGGGAGACAGAGAGACAGAGAGACAGAGAGACAGAGAGACAGAGAGATAGAGACAGAGAGACGGAGAGATAGAGACAGAGAGAGCCCAAAATGGAAGACAGAGAGAAGCGCCTCAGCCTGAGATAGGAAATTGTTCCTGGAATCACGCAGTCCACGCTGGGGGCGCTGTTCTAGCTGAACTCCAGGGGACGCGAAATAACCACAGAGCCGCAAGGCCCACCCTCTCAGGTCCTGAGCATCTCACCAGTGAGGGGGAGGAGCCGCTGAGGTGCGTGGGTCCGGAGGGCCGTGTCTACTTAGGACAGTGCACTGGCTTCCCCGGGAGGAGGGTGGCAGCACTCCAGGGGGCCGTGGGTGGGCTGCCGGCTCTGCAGGCTGCTGTGATCCTGTCCCAGCAGCGCCGTCTTTGACGTGGTGGTGGGCACCGAGTCTGAGGCTCTGCTCTGTGGCGGCCTGGGAAGCCGTGGATGGGTTTTTCCCCAGACCAGCCATGCTGCAGAGCAGGGTCCCTGGGGGTGCTGGCCCTGGCCCAGCCCCAGAGCATGCAAGCTGGGAAAGAGGGGGCAGCTGGAGGTGCAGGTGCCCTGGGGCCTGGGGGCAGTCTCTTCTCTGGAGCCCCGCCGCCCCTCCGTTCTCAGGTGCTGTCCGGGACTCCTGGGCACCCCGTCTTTCCCAGTGTGGCCCTCGATGACAGGGAGCTCAGCGCACAGTGCGGCTGGGAGGGAGAGGGGAAGCGTTTGACTGGAGGTCCCGGTGCTCAGCCAGCTCTGGCAGAGGAAAGCAGGGCGACCTCACAATGGAGGCTGCCCGGCCAATAAGCTGCTCAGAGCCCCAGGGGCCAGGTGGCTCTGCAGCGGTCACCCAGTGCCACCTCCTTCCTCTGTGTGGGGTGAAGAATAGCACAATGTCCAACTCAGATGTCACCTGTGCAGACCTTCCGCCTGGCAGGCATGTATGGACCGCACTGTGCAGGAGAGAGTGCACGTCAGCTCTAAGCAGTCGTTTGTCCCTCCAGAGAGAGCCTTGTCCCTCCAGAGAGAGGCTTGTCCCCCCGTCACGTTGTTTTTGCTGTTTCTCATGACCTTGAACTGTTGTCCCTGTGCCATGTGCCACCCTGCCTTGAAGCCAGCTGATTGTGGACCGAAACCTCCACAAACTGAGCTAAATCTTTCCCACTTTAAAAAAATCATTTTTTCCAAAATTATTTATTGAACATATAATATATGCTAGGAACTGTTCTCCATGCTGGGAATATGTTTAGGTAGAAAACTTACAATTTCTTCAGGCTGAGTTTATAGTCTGGTGTGGTCCAGGGAGGACAGGGAGAAAAGAATTTGTTGAGGGTATGGTAAACCAGGGCCTGTGGTGGGTACTTTGTAGTCCCAGCTACTTGGGAGGCTGAGACAGGAGGGTTGCTTGAGTCCGGAAGTTTGAGACCAACCTGGCAACATAGAGAGGTCATGGAGGGATTTGAGCAGAGAAGGGACACAAGTCACAGTGTGACAGCTCCTCTGGCCACTTCATGGGATCAGATCAAAGGGGGCAAGGGCAAAAGCAAGATCAATTAGCAGGCCACTACCACAGTCCAGGAGGCTCCTGCGGTGCTCCAGGAGACAGAAAGTGGGATGACAATGACACATAAGAAGTGACTGAAGTCTGGGCTTTTGAAATGGAAAACCATGCCGGGTGTAGTGGAGCATGCCTGTCATTCCAGCATTGGGAGGCTGAGGCGGGAGGGTGGCTGTGAGTTCAAGGCCAGAGTGGGCTACATAGCAACACTCTGTCTCAAAAAAAAAAAAAAAAGAAAAAGAAAGAAAGAAAGAAAAAGAAGAAAAGGGAGGGTGTGGAGGAAGAGCTGAGGCAGGGTGGAAGGGAAGAAGAGGAGCCAGGGTGCACGCCCCTCTCTGGACGGGCGTCACCCGAGCCCCGTGGGAGGCCCTCTTTGCAGACCACATGGTGGCGTGACTGCGGGGTGTTCTGGGGTCCGGGTGGGGTGTGGGAGGGTCACAGTGTTTCATGCACAAAGTGGATGGATTGAGCAATAATTTACCCAGGGGGAAGGGGAGCTCAGGGTGCTCTGAGCGCACACGTCATGTAACTCCCACCGCAGGCTTCACAACACTTCCGGGAGGTTCTCTTCCTCCCCTGGCCCTACAGCGCCCGGCCCCTGGTAGCCACAGCCACAGCCCGCCTTCTCCAGGACAGCCTAGGAGCACACTCAGCGGGATGACAGCCCCGTCTGCAGCTTTCACTCAGTGCAGTGCTGCCGAGATTGGTCTGTGTCGTCAGGAGCAACAGCAGATCTCTCCCTTCTGAGAGCTGAGTGATGCCCCACAGCTGGGCTGCACCTCAAAGCGCCTATCACCCACTCCATGCACATGTGGACCGCTTGCAGGCTCGAGGGACAATGACTACCCTTCCTACTAATGGTCATGTGCAGCGCTTTGGGTGGTGGAAAGTTTTTATTTAGCTGGCCAGGCTCTAGCAGAGCTATTCATTGGCTGCATGGTTTGAGAGTACAGCTGCTTGGTCACACTGGAAGTGCATGCACTGTGCCACACCGCCCTGCCTTGGAGCCAGCCGACTATGGACTGACGTTCTATGAACTGTGAGCCAAATAAACCTTTCCTCCTTTAACTTTGGGTGTCAGGTATTTTGTCTCAGCAATGAGAAAAGTAATTAAGGCAGGTAACATTCATTTTGATAGGGATTAATGGCAATGTGTTTTTTACAGTATGCTAATAAAATTTTAAAATGTAAACACTATTTTTTGATAATACTTCATGTATTTGAGTCAGACTTTCCAATCTTTTTCACGTTCATTTCATATTGAAAGATCTTTCTTACTTCAAAATTATAAAGTACTTTATTATGTCATTTAAAAAGTGCTTATCGATTTTTTGGCCTTTGAATCAGTAGTACTTGTCTATCTACAGTTTTGCTTTCCAGTTTCAGTTACCCGCAGTCAACCATGGGCTGAAAATGTCAATGGAAAATTCCAGAAATAAATGATCATAAGCGTTAAACTGCCATCCTGAAGAGTGTGCTCGTGAGCTGTCCTGCTCAGAATGTGAACCACCCCTTTGTCCAGCATATCCACCCCTCAGCGATTAGGGAGGAGAGAGAAACAGAGAGAGAAGAGAGAGAAACGACGGCCCACCTCAGCCAAAGCGGGGTGTGGACACCTGCGGGGCTGACGAGTGTCCCGCCTCCCAGCAGGGACGCTGCGGATTCTGGTGTGTGGATGGTCAGCCCTTATCTCTGCTGGGTGGGACTCTGGCGTTTGTGAGTATCTTCCAGAAATACAGCTAAACACAGAGCAGGTGGCCAGGGTTTGGGAACTGGGGCAGCGCCCCGTCCTCACCCTCCTTGTCTTTCCTAAGCTGCACAGAGAAGACGACGGAAGGGAAGAAGCAAGGGGGGCTTTTTCAAGTGTTGGCACCAGGCTGAAAGGAGCGCACGTCACTCCCATAGGCCTCACAGAGCGTGATGAGCCCCCGGGCTCTGGGCTGTGGACCTGCCACCTTCTACTTGGTTCACCGGACCCGTTTCCTGAGGGGTAGACACGGGGTGGGGAGGCAGAGAGCCGTCACCGCCTCGGAGGCTGAGGTGGTGTCTTAGGTCACCCGGCCCCGCCTCAAGCCGCGGTCAGACGTGAGGGCACACGGGGCTGCCGGGGCCAGGACGGCAGGAGGCTGGCACCGTCCTTGACGGACAGCTGCGTGTGAGGTTCTGTTCTCATTCACCAGTGCAGCCCCTTTAGCAAAAGTCACAGAGCAGCGAGCTTTTCCTGCATAAAACACTTACACCTTACGAATTAAAACCACAGGCTTTTATTATTCCTCACGATTCGGGGTTTCTCTGCACACCGTTCTGGCACTGGGCATGGAACCCGAGTGCTGTGCACGCTGAGCGCATCCTGTGCCGTTTGGCTTCACTGCCCCCCGCAGCCACTTCTGCAGATTCCTATGGTTTGGTTCAGGTTGGCTGGAGCTGGGACAGCTGGCTTCACTCAGGCGTCTGGCCGTTGACAGGCCTGTTGCTCTGGGCTCAGGGCTCGAATGGAAGGAGGAGTTTTGGCTCCACAGGCCTCCCGTCCTCCAGCAAGCTGGCCTGGGCCTTTTCACTTGGTGGTTTCAGCTCCACAGAGCGGTAAGAGATGGGCTGTCCACACGTAAGCCACCACCAAGCCCTCGCCTTCATATTTACTGCTGTCTCATCTTGCCAGTGCAAGTTACAAGGTGAAGGTCAGACTCACGGGGCAGAAGTACAGACATCTCACCTCTTAACGGAAGGAGCAGTGCGGTCGCACTGTCCAGAAGAAGTTATGGGCAATTTTCCAATCTACTGTAACAACCTTGCCTTATGCCTGGCACACACAGGTGACCAAGAACGGCTGTTGCAGGGATTATAGGATAAAGTCTATTCAAACGACGTCGTATCTACTCCTTCCTGCGCAAGTGCATCTGCTTCAGTGGGATCTTTGAGCTGAGCTCCTACTTAATCCAGTGGCTTGGAAGCCTTATTGCCCCTCACTTGAGCGTGGACGGCTCCTTCCTGAGAGTTGTGGCTCACACAGCTCCTCATGGCCCCATGCAGCCTGACACTGGAGTTTGCATGACTTGCTGAGCTGTGGATTAGGTCCTTGCACGGCTCAGGAAATGGGGAAACCTGTCGTCTGCAAAGCACATTCCCCTTTCCCTAGCGCACTTCCTTCTGCCCGGTGCTGCCATTTGGAGCCCCCTGGTGGCTTCTCCTCGTGTAGGCCGCTGGAGGTGCGACACTCACCCCGGCAATGACCAAAAAAGAAAAAGTTGGGGAGGATCCAGAACCTTCCATGGGAGAGTTCTCAATGTAGTGGAAAGTGAGAGATGGAAAGAAAAAGGAATAGACAACAACAGCAAAAATTAAACAAAAATTATCATTTAGACCTTGTAGCCGGCGAGTCCTTGCTTGTTTTACTGTGCCCAGAGAGAAGACAAAACAGCAGCATAGAGTGTGTCAAAGAGATCCACGCCACTGTGAGCCTTGTGTTGGTGGGTGTGGAGCGGCCCCGCTCTCACTGAATGGGGAGGGTGGCATTGGAAGGAGGGAGAGAGTCCCCTGACTCGATCAGCTCGTCCAGGGCCTGGTAAGTCCCCGCCACGAAGCCCACAAAGCCCAGGATGCTGATGAGGGTGTCCTTGGCGAGGGTGAGCGGGCTCAGGCCCTCGGAGGAGTAGGTGGTGACCTCCAGGAGCGGCGGGATGATGAGGGCCAGGGCGCTGCCGCTCACGGAGCCCACCAGGGAGAGGACCAGGTCCAGGCGCGGGACGAGGACGGCCAGGACGCCTGACAGAAATGAGAGGGAGCAGATGGAGAACCCAGGCTTAGCTGAGCTTCTACAGTGTGTTCCTAAAATCCTCTTCTTAAAACAATACATGAGACAGAGGTTTCTCAGAATTCAGTTGCAGACAGTAGAGGTTAAGGTCCGCTACTGCCCCAACCGCACTCCTTAGAGGAGAGACATTAACATCTTGCCGTGTCTCCTCCTAATTGTTCAAATACACACATTCATAATGCTGGGAAGAATAGCCCTTTTCTGCCAATTTCGGCTCCATGCTTGGGGTGGGGGTGTCCCCAGTTGAACTAATAATAGAAATATTAGCAGGAGGAAAAAAAGAAAGCTTAGTTTTGAGCTCTGGAGTCTTTGGATGATTTGGACCTGCCAAAGACGCCTGCTCGTACAGCCACTCATGGTGGGGAGGGGAGGGCCGGCCTCTTCAGGGTGCCAGCAGTCGGCTCTTCCATGGTAACGGTTGGCCTCTTAGCTGGCTGTCAGCCCCCCAGAAGGGGATTTGTGGAGGCTGCGTTTCCCCAATGCCCTCCTTAATTCTGCAGGAGAGTGCAGATAAAGCTTTCTCCTGCGGTTCCCTTCATTCAATAATCTTTATGTCATTGATGTGCGTATTTTTAATGTTGGCCCAGATTCATACAACTCTGTGAGGGTCCAACAACTCCTGTTGTCAAATGGACCCTGTTTACCCATTTTCAATGTCTGCTAAGGAGAAGGACTCCAGAGTTAGATGACTTGGGTTCAGATCCTACTTCTGACACTTAACTGGCCAGTTAGGTATCACTCCCTATCCCAGTTTCCCCTTTTGTGAAGGAGGGATTAGCGTAGTTCTACTTTATGAGGGTTCTTGGGGGGGCTGAATAGAATATTTTGAGTTCTAAACTAGGAAGAGCCTAGCACTGTGCAGGCCGCACGGCAAATGTTCAGTTAAGTTGATCTAATGACTATTATTTTGTAAACTGTGTCTTTTGACTGGAAATGGAGAAATCTGCCTCAGTAGAGGACAAGTAAGAGCAGGGCTGTCCCCGTGAGGTAATGCGTGTAAAGCTTTAGAACAGTCCTTGAAATGCAGTAAGCGCTTAATCAACGCTGGCTGTCACGACTGTCCGCTACCAATCTGGTTGAGTCCTGATGGCCCTGAGGAAAAGATCCATGGAAACCTCATGTTCTGCGTTCTACTCACAGGTCAGGCAGACCATGGTGAGGCGGATGGACAGGTCCACGGGCAGTGCCCAGCGCTCTGACACCCGGGAGATGGCCCAGGGCAGGATGATTTCTGCTGGGACGTAGAACTGTAGGGCGTAGGTGCACAGGATGCCGATGATGTAGAGGAGTTTCACCGACTGGTACAACCTGCAAAACAAACCAGAACCATGCTCTCCAGGGTGCTGGGGATCTGCCCTTGGGATAACCCCCGGGGCTGCTGTGCCCCGTCTGAAAACGATGGAGATGGACCGCCTACGAGTTGGGGAAATCACAGCAGAAAACACGGTGAAAGCGGAGGGCAGCACAAAGGATTCAGTGCAAACGGGTGCAAGGTCACCTCTAATGAGGAGCAGCAGACTTGAGTACGGGCCTGCGTGGCACCTTTGCCTCCCTCTCACTTGGGGCTTGATTTCAGAGTTTAGGAGCGAGGCCCAGCTAGACACTTTCCCAGGGAGACTCAGCCAATGAAAACCCTGGATCTAAAAGATCCTGGTCCTTTTTGGACTCTGTCAGTCCTTAGAAATTCTCTGGGTCCCCAAAGCCCTCAGCATACACCCAGCTCTCAGAGAGAGAGCTCCTGCTTGCTTGAGAGAGCTGCAGAGCCCCAAGTCTTGAGGGGAAGAGACAGTGCATAAATGGGTCGTGTGGAGGCCAGGGCTGAGGGCTGGGTTAGGGAGACAAGGTTGCTGGCAGGCTTTAAGACAGAGAAAGAGGGTGTGCAGTTTCAGGAGACACGAGTTCTCTCAGGAGCTCATGGATATAACTATTTTCCTTTAGCCCACTAACCTAGTAGAGCCATTTACCACGTTTGAGAAGTGTGTGTGTGTGTGTGTGTGTGTGTGTGTGTGTGTGTGTGTCTAGGTCACTCCTTAAAGAGGGATAACTTCTGTGTTTTTGTGTTTCCTGCTTACACCAGTCCTGCTCCCTGGAGCATCCTGTGTACTTCTTTTCCAGAAATACAAGCACTACTGATGCTTTGAAATCCTCTCTTCTGAGCAGGTACCACCACTCAGATGCTCTTAGACATGGCCCAACATAACCCGCAAGATAGCTCTGCCTCATAGGTGAGCAAACTGAGGCTCGGAGGGGCAAAGCAAACTAGCCAGGAGTGTAAGTCAGTCTGCCGTGGAGTTGGGACTGCGACCCAGAGTACTGAGAGCTGTTATCGGGCAGCCAGTTTCCCTGCTGTCCCTTTTCTTTCTTTCTTTTCTGGTGTGGCAGTGCTGGAGATTGAACCCAGGCACACACTCCACCACTGAGCTGCACCCTCACTTCTCTATATTTTGAGAAAAAATCTTGCTAAGTTGCTCAGACTGGCCTTGAACTTTTGATTCTCCCGTTTCAGCATCCTGGGTAGTTGGGATTACAGGCATGCACCGCTGTGCCTGGCCCTGCTGTCTCATTCTGTTGTGCCTTCTTTGCTCAGAAATCTCCAAGGCCTCGCCGGGCATGGTGGCACAGGCCTATAATCCCAGCATGTAGGAGGCAGAGGCAGGAGGCTCACTATGAGTTGGAGGCCAGCCTGGGCCACACAGTGACTTCAAGACCAACCCGAACTATGTAGTATGACCCCCTCTCTCTCTCTCTCTCTCTCTCTCTCTCACACACACACACACACACACACACACAATCTCGAAGACCAGTTTGTTACTCTAGAGGATATGGTAGAGTTTGTGTGCATTCACTATGTCCCTCTCTGCCTCTACCCCATTGCTGATGAAGACAGAATTCCACGATCATAGTCCACACCCTAATATGTCTAGACTGGCATCTATGTGTAGTAGCTGGTTGATGACTGACATTTATAACCTTGGGGACAAGCCCCATTTGGGCAAATTAGACCTCCAAATGACCATCTGCTTAAAAAGAGAGGCCTCCTGGAATCAATGACCTGTCTCTGTGCAGGAGAAAATGATGCACAGGGGCGTGTGGGGTCCTGCGTCTATTGAAACACGGCCCTGTGGGAGTTGGTGGCATCACACTGTCCCATGAGCTGGGCACACTGGACATCAAATGCTTACAGAATCCAGCGGTTCCCCCAAGTGGGTGTTTGCTCTACACCTTTTTAGCCTGGCCTCCCTGATGGAGGGGATGTGCACCGTTGGCCGTGCCAAGCCAGACTTGGTCACAAGGCTCAGTGAGCAGCACTGGAAGCATTGGAAGCGTTGCCGCCCCAGGCTCGCCTCCCTCTCGCCCTCCTCCGGCACTCGTCCCTTCTCTCTTTCGGGGACCAGCGGTTCTCACTTCTGTCCTCTCTTCCGGGTCACGTCCTCCATCCCCCTGGGCTGATACAGCCGAACTCAGTTTGAGAGGCTGCTGCCAAAGGATGAGCTGGGGAGCCCAGGATTGCAGTGACAGTGCTGCCTCTCCCCTCTCAGCTGTCCAGACCTCGGCTCCCGGGTGTGGGGGGAGGAGGGAGAGGCCCCATGTTTCCGTCCAGCCCTCAGTCCCGCCACCTGAGAGTCCGCGAAGGTACCAGCAGTTGGGCAGGTTAAGGGTTATGCTGGCTCTGATGTCCTCTCCAAAGCGCAGGTAACCCAGAGCCCCGATGCCGATGTACAGGGTGGTGATGATGGACATTCCCAAAGACAGGATGGCAGGGAAGCGGCGGGCATCCTTCATCTTGTTTTCCAGAGGCAGGACCTAGAGGAATATCACAGTGCAAGGAGAGAGGAAGTGAGACAACCAACTAATCGACGACAAAACAACACCATGAATATATAAATAAGAGAAAGGCACACCACTTCTGGGAATATATTCAAAAGAATTGGAAGCTGGGACTCGAAGAGGTATTTGTACACTCATGTTCATACAAGCATTTTTCATAGTAGCCAAAAAATGGAAACAATCCCAGTGTCCACCAACAGAAAATGGATAAACAAATGTGGTATACCTGTGCAAAAGAATATTATTTAGCCTTCAAAAAGAAGGAAATTTGGATATATGCTATAATACGGATGAACCTTGGGGACATTCTGATAAGTGAAACAAGCCAGCCTCGGAATGACAGATAATAAGGCTCCTACTGAGAAGAGGGATCTGGAGCAGTCAGATACATAGGGACAGACAGCAGAATGGGGTTTCCAGGGACTGGAGGCAGGAAGGGGTGGGAGTTACTGCTCAGCACTGAGGTTCAGCCTTCCAAGATGAGAAGCATTCTGGAGATGGATGGTAGCATTGGCTGGACAACAGGATGAATATATTTGCTGAACCCACACATCGGAGTAGTTAAAACGGAAAATTTGATACTAGGTGTATTTTGCCACCATGAAAGAAAAAAATGAAATAAAGGGAAAAAGAAGGGAGGAGAAAAAGGAAGTAGAGGAAAAGGAGAAAAAAAAAACAGGCCAGAAAGAAAGGGGGGAAGTGAGGAAAAGGAAAAGGAAAAGAAAAGGAAGGCCCAGAATTACAAGATGAGTCTGGGCCTCCAGGAGATTCACAGATTACCCGGATGAAAGAGCCCAGGGCCCTGGGGAAGCCAGTTCTGGCCAGCAGGAGGTGCACTCTGTCCAGACAGCAGTAGTCCTTACTTAACCTTTTATTAGCATGTATTAATTTACACATTAAGAGATATCTCCATACACAAATACAGCATGGACTGATCACAGCCAGTCCTCCCCTCCCCCGCTGCCAATCTCTAGTTATCACTGGTCTGCTTTTAGGTTGACATTTTTTAGTTTCCTTTTATGAAAGAGAGTAGGCGCTTATCCTTCTGTGTCTGGCTTACTTCATCTCACACAATGACTGCCAGTTGCACACATTTTGCTGCAAAGGACAAGATTTCCTTGTTTTTCTGGGCTGAATCATGTGTACATACCCATTTCTTTCTCCATTCACCATTGAACGGCACATAGGCTGATTCCATATCTTAGCTATTGTGAATAGTGCTGCCGGAGTCACAGGATCGACAGTGTGACTTCGATGTGCTCACTGCATTCTCTTACTTATACACCAAGAAGTGGGATGGCTGGGTCACCCGGTAGATTGAGTGTTAGCTTTTGAGGAGCTTCTGCTGTTCTCCACAATGGCTGTGCTAATTTACATTCTCACCAGCAGGGCATAAAGGCTTCCTCGCCCCGCATTCCCACTAACATTTATTTTTTCTTTCTTTGGATAACTGCCATTCTAACCAAGTGAGACGATACCTCACTGTGGTTTTGACTTGCATTTCTCTGAACACTAATGATAGCATTTTTCCATACATTTGTTGGCCATTTGTATTCTTTGTAAAATACAAATGTACTTGGGGTTTCTGTTATGATGCTTCTTGAGCTCCTGTATATCCTGGATAGCAACCACTTGTCAAGTAGCTGGTAGATACTCCCACCCTCTAGGCTGTCTCTTCACTTGTTTGCTTCCTTTGCTGTGCAGAAGCTTTTAGTTTGAAATAATTGCATTTGTCCATTTTTGCTTTTGTTTGCTGTGCTTTGGAGTTCTTATCCAGAAAACCACTGCACCAATATCTTGAAGTGTTTCCTCTGTGTTTTCTTCTAGTAGTTTCAGAGTTTGGGGTCTTACCTTAAAGTCTTTGATCCATTTTGAGCTGATTTTTGTGCAGGGAAATAAAGGTCAAGTTTCCAGTTTCTGCATATGGCTGAGCATTATATTGGTGAGTTTCCTGATTTTTCTTCTCTATCTCCCAATTTAAACTCAAAGGAAGTCCAAATCCTAAAACTACGCAGTCGGTACAGACAGAACAACACAAAACAAAACACTCTAAGAGAAACCTTTTTATTGGCCAGAGGGGGAATAAGGACCGCTGTGAGAGACAGAGCCTGAACAGTCCCTATTTTTCTGTTCTCTCTAGGTCATTCTCCCTTGGCCAGTCCAGGTTTTGCATCAGCAACTGTGGTGTTCACACAGGCACCTAAAGATCTGAGATGAAGTACTTCTCTCTGAGCCCAGGACCTGGGAAAATGGGCTCCGGGAATCTGAAGAATGTAGGGAAGTCAGGACTAGGTACATCACTTACAGGGCTTAGTATAAAATGAAAACTCAGTGTGCCTTGTTTAAAAGTCAGGACTGTCAAGGTGGTGAGAGCAGAGCATTGAGCCACGTGGGGCTCTTTCTCTAGGTGCGGCTTACGAGGCTCTGGAGGTTGTCTGCCATGAGGTGGGTTCTGGAAAGCATCTCTATTGTTTATTTCCTCTTTCTTTGCTGTGAGTGTTTAACTCTAGAGGCAGAGTTCCTGAGCCATGGGAACATGTGAAAGTGCAGGAAAAGTACAATCCTGGCTTCCTAGACAGAAGACCAGAGCAGAGAGATGGCGGGAGCTGGTGAGCATGCGGGAGAGCGGAGGAGGCAACTGCAGAAAGCGATTGCTGAGCACGAGGTCCTGGGTGCAGCTCTGAGCTGACACGGGTCGCGCTGAGGTGAAGCAGCAGAGCACAGGCTTTGAGAGCTGAATTACTGCAGACTGCTTTACCCTCAACATGCAGAGAGCCAGGGAAACCTCAGCGACTCTCAAGGGAAGAGACAGTAGAGCCTGTGCCAGCTGGGTGTGATCACACACTACAGTGGACAGAGAGATGCCTGGAGAGGAGACCGGCTATGGAGGTGCTGTTCTCACTCCTCAGTGGTTGATCCCTCACGTGCACAGGGCAGCGACTCACTGGGACTGTGTCTTTGGAGGATGTCGTCTCCGGTTCTGTTCCCCGACTCTGCTTCTCAGCTACCAGGAACTCGCAGCTCTGCTCTACCATGTCCTTCTGCTGCAACGTGTCTACCTGGGAGCCAGTAGACCATGGTCTGGACCTCTTAAACTGTGATCCAAAATCAACCTCTCCTCCTTTACAATGTGGGTATCTGGTATTTTGTTCCAGCAATAGAAAAACTGACCAATACAGATGCCAACCCTAAGATGACTCAAATGTTGGAAAGATCAAACAAAGACTTTAAAGTACCTATTGTAATCATGCTTCATAAAGTAAGGGAAAACACTACTGAAATAAATGGATCAAAATAAGTTCTCAGAAAAGAAGTAAAAGTAATGTGAAAGAACCAGATGGAAATTGTAGAACTGGAAATGAAATAACAACTTTAAAAATAGCTTACTTTAAAGGCTTGATAGCAGAATGTAGATGACAGAAGGCACTCAGTGAATTTGAAAACAGATCAATAAGAAATGATCAAATCTGCCAGGTGTGGTGGTGTATACCTATAATCCCAGCTCTAGGGAGGCTGAGATAGGAGGATTGCCCCAAGTATGAGATCAGTCTGGGCTACATAATGAATTCAAGGCCAGCCTGAACTATATAGTGAGACACTGTATAAAAAAAAAAGTAAAGAAAAAAAAAGAAATGATCAAATTTAAACAGAGAAAAAAATTTGAACAGATTCTCAGAAACGTGAGATATATAACAAAAGGTCTAATGATTAGGCCACTGGAATCTCAAAAGGAGAAGAGAGTAAAGGTTGGTTTGGGAAAAAACTTGGAAAAGTAACGGTTGAAAACTTTCCAACTCAGGAAAGAGACATACATTTGCAGATTTAATCAATTGAGTGTCATTTAGAACAAATTCAAAGGAAAACTTTGCCACATACAACTATTTAAAACCAGTGATTAAAAAAAATCACGAAAGTAACCTGAGAAAAACTGTATTACACAGAGTGAACAATGATTCAAACAACTGCAGCCTTCTTGTCAGAAATGATGGGGCCGGGGACTTAGCTCAGCAGCACAGTGCCTGCCTGGCAAGCACAAGGTCATGAGTTCGATTCCCGGTACCGGAAAAAAACAAAGAAACAAACAAACAAACAAAACAGAAATGATGGAAGGCAAAAGGCACAAAAACTGTTTTCAAACTGATGGAAAAACTCCTAGGATTCAATATTGTGAACATTGTGCCTTTCAGGTGAAAATAAAAACAATTTCAGAAAAAAAATTTCAGAAGAAAAAAAAAATTTCAATTTTTTTTTTTTTTTTTTTTGCTAATAGACCTGTTCTCAAAGAAATGTTAATGGAGATTCACTTAAGATTATGGCCTTGAGGTCTCTCCATTTTCCTGTAAGCGACCTCTTTATGGCTCAGTGGTACTGTATGGTGTATATATGCCACATTTCCTTTGTCCGTTTTTCTGTTGATGGGGCACCTAGGCTATTTCTGTGGTTTAGCAATTGCGAATAGCAATACTATAAACTGGATAGGCAAATATCACTGTAATACGATGGCTTTAACTCTTTTGGGAATATATCCAAGAGAAATATAGCTATGTGAAATGAAATTTCTGTTTTCAGTGTTTTGAGAAATCTCCATACTGATTCTCCCATAGTGGTTGTACTAGTTTACATCCCCACCAGCAATGTAGAAAGGTTCCTTTTCCCCCAAATCCTTGCCAGCACTTGTTTTTGTGTTCTTAATAGCCATTCTTACTAGAGTAAGGTGATAGCTCAGAATTGTTTTCTTTTGCATTTTCTTAATGGCATAATAATAATAATAATAATAATAATAATAATAATGATAATATGAATAGTTCTTTTTAGGCAGAGTCTCACTAACTGTCCAGATTGACCTTGCACTTTACATCCTCTTGCCTTCCAAGTAGCTAAGATTATGGGTGTGTGCCACCATGCCTGGCTTCTGGTGGTGTTTATTGGACATAGATGTAATACACATGGCAATCTAATATAAAAGGAGGAAATGA